TTCCAACCCAAACCAGTCTGGGATTCTATACCTGCACCCACACGTTGGTGTCACTGCAGTTCTGCTTGAGCACAAGATCTGTCCATACAGGGTAACTTCTGCTATGTGTTTGTTGTCTGTGGTGCCTGCGGCTTGGGCAGCATGTGAAGTGCAGGTTAAGAAGTGTGAGGAGAGCAAAGAGTAACATTCAAGTGTTGTCAGGAACAAAATTCCAATGATAGTTGGCGGTGTGCATTGCCTGCATTTTTTGTTTGTAGTAGGTGGAAGGGAACTTTATCAGGGTAAGTAGATAACTTTCAGTAGGAGAATAGGGCCTCAGTTCCATAAGTGTTTGGTGTTGATTTAAATGCCACTATTCAAGTGTTCACAAGTGCATAAGCTTTCCTAGGACTTAGCACAGCAGTTCCAATGAGGTGTCAAAAGCTATGCTGGGAAAAATATTTCTGGTATAGTGCGTTTGGTTTTCAACTTTTAAGTGTTCTGGCGCACAGCCATGTTTGAAACTCAGTTTAGAAAAATACTTTTATTTTTTACTGTGATTTATTTGGATCTGAAAATACTTGCAGTCCATCTGGTTTCTTTGGCTTTCCCAATCTCACATCTCCTGATTTCAGAATGCACATACTGCTGCTGTCTGCTTTTTCCTAGGGATACAAAAGAAAAAGCATTGTTTTGTTCTCCCAAAGGTACTTTGTCACCACAATCCCCTTAGGCTGGGCATCCACTATAGACTTATGTGGTTTTAATACCTCATAACAATGAATTTACTTTGTTATCTCTGCATAGCCTTTTTATTTCCCGCACCCACCTTTCAGGGGGTTGTTTGTTGCAGATCAGCTTTTTGTGTCTAGTTTCATGACAGCTCTGATACTGTTGCTGTAAGAGCATCCTCTGCTGCAGCTTTTGCTGCTTGAAACACCTTTATGCTTTTGCCCTGTTTCAGATTTTGTGCGCCAGCACCAGTTCTTTTCAGGATCATTTCCTCTTTTCATTGTTTATTGGTTCTTTCTCTTACTTTATTATTCACCTAAAGGAGTTTAGGTGGTATAAAGTGTATGAAGACACTTTATGACCATAGCAGTTCTTTGTTTGGCAAAGGGCAAAAATAGGTTGGCAGTAAAATTTTATGACTCTGGAAATCACTTATTTCTTTTTCTACAGGGGGAAATACAGTAACCTACAGATTGTTCCTAACAGCAGAAAGAAAATTCCAACTACTCACAATGCTTCCTGTCAGAATGAAATTCCTACAGCTACTGTTCATGAAAACAGGGAAACTGGAAACACTCTTTTTTGCCAAAAGCAATTCCCATTTATGTGCCTGGCTACCTCCACATGTCGTCATAGTAAAAAGAAAAAAGTGAACAGTTATGAACTAGTTGACCAAGAAAAATACAAAAATTTGGTCTACTCTGTGATCTCTTACAAAACCAGTGCCCAAACACCAGAGACAATATTTGAAGAAGATAATTTGTTATATGGGCCACCAAAACGACACAGACATCCAGTTAAAGCTGAAACAAAAGCTCCAAAGAACTTTGTTCCTTTAATAAACCCCAACAAGAGGATTCCTCTTCTCAACAATGATTCAAACTTCCCCATGAAAATCCCTTTACAAGAGAAAAACAAGACAAAAATGCCCAGTGTTACCCATATTCTTCAACAGACTATTTCTCCGCAGCAAGCCCTTTATCTGGAAAGATGGAAGAAGAAAATGATACTGGAACTTGGAAAAGATGGTTTTACAGAGTATACTAAAAGTAAGTCTAACCACAATGTGATTGCAACGTGGAAGCAATGTCTAGGCAGCTGGCTGGGATATGCTACCATAGCTGCAGTGTCTGTCCCTACAGATCAAGTGTTTTGGAAATCCAGGGCTTGGAGCAACCTGCTCTAGTGGAAGGTGTCCCTGCCTATGGCAGGGGGTTGGAACTGGATGAGCTTTTAAGGTCCCTTCCAACCCAAACCAGTCTGGGATTCTATGATTCATTTCATAAGACCTACAAAGGTGACTTCTTCTAAGCTGTAGGACTGAAGGGCACCCGGGAGGACCTGGGGGATAGAAGGCAGCCTCTTGTAGCAAGGTTGATAAATACCCAAATGCACTTCACATAAATTATTATGCTTTTTAAAACTGAATATTCTGTGTGCTTCTTGAGTTACTAAGCACTTCAGTGAATAACGTGGCATAACAAACCTTACATAACTACTTAAAATTTATTTTTCTTGGAATAATTTCTGGGACAAGCTCTTACTTCTAGAACCCTGCCTGCTCATTTCGGGAGGTTAATTACATTCAAATGAACTAGTGCAGCAGAAGAGGCAAAAGCAGCCTAGAATAATGTTTTAAATTCACAGAAATTCACAAATGCCTTTGAATAAACAATACATTTAAAACCATACTTTTGTTTCTGAGTAGTTAGAGACAAAAAGAAGTAAAGTAAGTATTAATATAAGAGATACCAATTTCACTGTTGACATTTCACTTATTTTTCTGTCTCATTCCCTCCTCCCCACATCCTCAAGCTTTCAGTCCGAAAACTAGGACTGGTTTATGAGCTATGTTGTGAAATAGCTAGAATATAAATCCATCAGGTATTATGAGTAGTGTATAAAATGTGGGGTTTCTTCACATTTTTCGTAGATCTTTTCCTCCAAGGACATCTCTTTCATGCCACTTTGGAATCCATATTCCTGTCTGAAGAGATGGTAACTAAGGAGCAGAAAGAAGACGTTACTGTTTCTGGCTACTTGTCAAGTGTGGAACATGTCTTAAAAGATATCAGCGAAGTGAGAGCTCTGGAAAGTGCAGTTCAACATGAAGCTCTTCAGTATCTGGGCCTGGTAGACTGCGTGGCTAAGTATCGGTGAGGTACTGGTTCTCTGAGAAACCTGATCATGCCAGTGTGCTGTGGTGCTTCATGGCACAGGGGAGGTTGTGTCCCAGGCTGGAGCTGGTGTGTCTGGGGAGGGGGAAGCTGGACCAGATCGCTTAAGAAAATAGAAATAGATGAACTGCCCTGGAGGAACCTGATGATAGAAGTGCTGTTGTGGAGAATTCCTTGGTGGAGCAGAGTATCAGTGGGGCAGGGTTAAGGGATCCTCAGCAGCTGGCAAGAACTGCAGTGGATATTAATAAGTATTCATTTGGGGGATCTAAACTGCCAGTGTGGAAGAGACTTGTTTAGGCATAATCATGAGCAACATGCCATCAGGTGAAGCAAGCTGAGAGTGATATGACTTTGCTGTCTCATCCCTTATTTCTTACTTATGACTAAACTTAAGTTTAAAACGTTGTCCTATCTTGTTCCCTTATGCAGAGGCCAGTTGTGTGTGATTGACTGGAAAACTTCAGAGAAACCAAAGCCGTCTTTGAAGAATACTTTTGACAACCCTTTACAGGTTGCAGCGTATATTGGAGCCATCAATCATGATGCCAATTATGACTTCCAGGTCAGTAGCCCTGCTGCCTGCCAAGACAAGCAGCAGCACCCATGTTGTTTTCATTTCTCCCCACCTACTGCCTTTAGCACTTGCTGTCCATCATGGAACCATTGGTAGGATTTGTGATAAAGCAGTCCAGTCTTGGATCAGGTTTAGCTGACATACTGTGAAATAACACCACTGCTCTTGCTAATCCTACTGCCTTTGCCTGTCAGCAGTCTATTTTCAGTGGTTTTAAGGAGCTGCTCAATGGGACCGAGGGATGCTCAGGAGGCCTGATGAACTCACAGTGACTTGACATCTGGGTAACCCCCAGTGCTTAGTTCTGTTTGGTTTTTGCTTGTGTGAAGTGTACAAAGGGAGAGGAGAAGTGAAGCAGAAAAGCCTGCAAACAGGGAAATGGAGGGGGAAGGCATTGCTAGCATCATGTGTTGCCGCATCCCATCAGCAAATTAGGGACTGATTTTCTTGAAGCTGTACAGTGTTTCCTCAGGAAACAGTGTGTTGTCAATCACTTAACCAGAAGACAGTGGAATAATGTTTTGAAATACTCCAAATGCAATTCTAGCCAGGCCTGCTTGGCCTGAAGAATTGTTATTTCCATACAAAACACTGAAGAGGGAAAACAGCAGAAGAAAGCAGAGTAATTCATAGGTTGTGCAAAGGACTTTTGTAGAATACTGTAGAGGTCAGTAAACACAAGAATGTAACAGACATGATCCTTGCAGAGTGAAATGTAGGCAGTCGTTCTAGAATTCTGCTATTAGCCTCCTGTCCTCCACCTCTTTCTCCTCATCCTTGTGGCTCTTCGGGATTTGGATTAGATGTTTGTCGAGTAAGAAGGATGTCAGAACATACCTAAGCAACCATTTCTATTCAGACTGGTGCTGGAGAATGGCATCAGTCTGGTTATATGACCCCAGGCAAAACCTCATCAGTCACTGGGAATTCAGTCAGCATCTGCAAGGTTTAAGTAGACCTCATCACTCTGAGACTCAGAATTCGAGTCCTCTGGTTTGCACTGAAGTCAGTCAGAGCTTTGGACTTTTGAGTCTTTGGAGCATTTGAACATCAGTCTCCAAGTATTTTATGGTGAATTATTGCTCTTTTTTTGTTCCCTGTTTCTTATTTAAGATACTTACATGTTAAGATGGAGGTTAGTTTGTAGAATGTCTGATTGAAGTTGCATCTTCATGTTGGTTTTCTGACAGCCTTCTGTTTCTACCTGTAGGTTAGCTGTGGACTCATCGTGGTTGCCTATAAGGACGGCTCCCCCGCGCACCCACATTTCATGGCTCCTGAGCTGTGCTCACAGTACTGGAATAAGTGGCTTTTGCGCCTTGAAGAGTACATGGACAACCCCCCCCCCAAATTAAGCTGCGCAGAGGCAAGTGGTCTCAGCACAGAGCCACAGCAAGAATCCTTTAATTAAATCTGCCATTTTGATACGTATTTTTTGTTGAGTAACTTTGGCTAATTTCCTTATATCAGGTTCACCCTCCCTAAAAAAGGAAGAAAGTTTGGAATGGGGAAGGGGGAATGTGTTTTTGCTTGCATTGTAGGTGATGAGTGGACCAGCCAAGACAAAGTTGACTTAATTAATCTCTGCTGTTCCCCACATAGTTTATACAACCTGAGGTTGATAGGAAAGTTTCTGTTATCAAGTAAAACAGTTCAATCAACTCATCCTTCTTTTGTCATTTTTGAGAGAAAAAACCCCAACTGTTGTAGAACTGAGGCCTTAAAAATGAAGTTGATGAACTAAAGTAAAATGACATCTGCATTGTCTTGAGCTGAGAGAAATGCAAATGATAAACACAAGTTGAATATACCAGACTGGGTTTCAGTCAGCTTAGTTCTTGCTCATCTCAAAGGTATCTATTAACAGCTTTGTTGCTATTTGTGGGTTTTCTTACAGCAACAACTGGAAAAACTGTGCTAAGAATTAGAACCAAAGTTCTCATAAGCACTTTTTTAAAATACTCAGGCAAAGTGGTCATTTAACAGAAGTGTTAAAAGGTGTTGCAAGGGCAGGTAGTGACAGGGTAAGGCTTTGAACTGACAACTGCCACTGCCTTGAGCTCTCCTGACATAGCTGTGGGTCTGAGCTGACATTGGGCCTATCCATGTAGAATGATCTCCAGTGTGAAGTTACAGTGTTTGCTAGTGCAAGTTCTTTATAAGAGCAGGCTTATGACTTTGAAGCTGGACCTTCTGAGGAACAAATTGCTGCTGGTTGGGTTTTGGGGGGTTGTTTTTTTGAGGGTTTTTTGTTGGATTTTTTCTCCAAATAAGTTTTTGAATATATGTTCTGAAAACAAGTTACTTTTGAAGCTTGTTTCATAAAATCAAATCGCTAAGACACAGATTAAGCCTTGATGATGTCAGGCAGTATTGCTTTGTGTGCTGCACACCTGGAAAGCTTTTCACCTCCTTCTCTTTATTTTCTCTGAATTGTGTGTGTGAGTTTTCATAATACCACTGCATATTACAAATAATATGACCAACCCATCAGTTTCAAGAAAATCAGCCAGAACCATACCTGAAAACCTCAGTGGGCAGGCTTGCTGCTGAAGAAATATAAACCTCCATAGCACTTAATCTGCTGCTGCTCCAGAGTACTGAAGTATGGAAACCTATGGAATGAAACTTAGTTATAGTGGTACTTGCTTATTCAAACCCAGTCTGATGATGTTATGATTACTCTGAGCTTAATTAGATTTCTATCTAAAAAGACTAGCCATGGAGACTGAGAAACTGGGTTCAGAGATGACTAACCACGACGATGCTGTGTTGCGCACTCAGAAGTTCTACCTGTTCTACAAGTCTGTTCCCACATCACAGAATTTTAGTAAGTGGGTGTTTCAACGTCACTGAACACAGTCAATTTTCTGTGAGAGATAGCTCCATGGATGCAAAGAGGGTGGACATAAGCAAGAGGTGAGATGTCCTGTGCGGAAAAAGGAGGTAATAAAACATGCTGTGTTCCCCAGGTTGACTGGGATTGAATAAATGGAGAGTGTGGAACAGCTGGGCAATATTTGGGTGGGATTACCTTCATCATCAGTGCATTGTTCTTTAGTCTGGAGAAGAGAAGGCTCAGGGGGGACGTTATCGCTCTCTGCAACTGTCTGAAAGGAGGATGGAGCCAGGAGGGGGCTGGTCTCTTCTCCCAAGGAACAAGGGATAGGACAAGAGGAAACAGCCTCAAGCTGCACCAGGGGAGGTTTAGACTGGATATTGGGAACAATTTCTTGCAGTCAGGCATTGGAATAGGCTGCCCAGGGCAGTGGTGGAATCACCACCATCCCTGGAAGTGTTCACAAACTGTGTAGATGAGGCCCTCAGTGACATGGGTTAGTGGTGGCCTTGGCAGTGCTGGGGAATGGTTGGACTTTATGACTTTGAAGGTCCTTTCCAACCTTGTTAATTCTATGATCATACAGCCATTAGATGTCTCTGGACCATGCAAGATTTCAGCCTCATCCTCCCTCCTAGGAAATAAGGACAAGTTTGGAGCCTGGGCAGTGTGGGCTCCTGTAGGCTTCACCTGGGTTCATTTGTTTAATAAAAGCCTTGTCTGAGGAAGACTGCCAGCTTCACTGGCAGTGTCACTGTAAACCTACCTTTAAGTCTCCAGTGAGTCTGTACCATCAGAGAGCCAGGAGAACGCAGACAGGCTTCAAAGACAAAGGTGGAAGTTACTTATGTCTGGTACTTCTCAAAGTCTGGCTGCCTCAGGCATCCCTGCGGGAGCACTGAAGCGTCTCTGTGGAGTCACATGCTTGTGCCAGTTTTGTCCCATAACAGAATTGGCAGGTGGCTGTAGCTGGTGTCACACAAAATCAAACCACTTTGTGACCAGTTTAAACTAACTTGCCAGACTCTTAAATTGATGTGCCCAAGGCATCTGCTACAAGCAGTGTCTGTCCTCTGCAGAAAAAACAGCCCATCAGGGCAGTTAGTCGAGCTACAATGTCCTGCTTGTCAGAGCTCTGCTCTCTAGAGTGGTTTAAATTCTGTGTGCTTTTACCTGTTGCTTTCTCTGCTGCTGTGAATGATTTCTTTGGCTGAGATCACATAGATGGGCCATCTCATGGTGGCTTAGTTCTTTCAGCAGGGACATGCCTTGGAAATGATACTGAAGTGAAATCAAAAGCAATGTCTGCTACAGGAGGGAAAGAAAAAACACACACATACACACATAAAAATGCATCTCCAGTTAGGCAGGGAGGGTTTCAGCTGCACCTCCACTGCTCCAGTAAAAGAGCTGAGGTTTCAGCAGAGCTAAGCATATGCATCCTTTGCAGTCAGGTAAATTATAGAATCCCAGACTGGTTTGGGTTGGAAAAGACGTTAAATGAGCTCATCCAGTTCTAACCCCCTGCCACGGGCAGGGACACCTTCCACTAGAGCAGGTTGCTCCAAGCCCCTGTGTCCAACCTGGCCTTGAACACTGCCAGGGATGGAGCAGCCACAGCTTCTCTGGGCACCCTGTGCCAGGGCCTCAGCACCCTCACAGGGAAGAGCTTCTTCCTAATGTCTCATCTCAATCTCCCCTCTGTCAGTTCAAAGCGATTCTGCCTTGTTCTGTCCCTACAGGCCCTTGTCAAAAGCTCCTCTGCAGATTTTTTGTCACCCCTTTAGGCACTGGAAGCTGCTCTAAGGTCTCCACGGAGCCTTCTCCAGGCTGAACAGTTTACTTCAGATGCTTTTTTAAAACGGACTTGCCATTTATTAAAGTATCCTGCTCATTTCCCATGACACAGGATGACAAGTTTGTTCTTTACACAGAAGCATCACTTTACTATCCTTGTTTTCAAGGTCCCAAGCATCAACAGTTGTGCTGAATAAAATACTGATATCACTAGAAATGCTTTAAAAACCAGTAGAAGCTTTCTCCCCACAAAACCCCAAGCAGATGCCTGTACAAAACTGAGGCAGTTGAGAATATGTTTTTGGTTCTTGCAGGGATGCTCATAATTGATCATTTTAGTAGCAAGGACTACAAAGGTCCTTGCTGTGACTCTTATGTTAGATGGATTGCTTTTCAGCTATTGTTTCAACATCTATAGAATACAGCATATCCTCCCCCAATGTACAGCTTTATTTTGAGCACAAAATGGATTTGAGGACTTTACAAATGAAATCCATTCATTGATAGGCATTTAAATTGATATAAAACCTGTTTAGTAGCTGTGTTCATTAAAGACACATAAATAACATGCACTTGGAACAGAGAACCTTGTGGTGGGTTCACCCAATCAGGTGAACTGGCACCCTAGTGCCCAGTAAAGGCTGCAGCAGCTTCCGAAGAGTCTTAAAGTGTCAGGCAACATAAATTATATGGACATCTCTCTCCCTATATTTTTACAGCCATAATTTCATACTCAATAGTCCCTTTAGGCTACACTCCTGGTTGTCCCAGAGCAGTTGGAGCAGGACCATAAGGGAAGTCTAAAAGCACAGAGATGTAATACAGGTCCCTCACCATCCTCACTGTCTCTATCCCTTGTAGCATCAGCCTCCCTAGGAGCCTTCTAAACTGATGATGGTTACAGATGAGAGGCCAGATTCCTGCCTACAGCTGATTTCATGAGGCAGAGACAGGCCAAGCTGCCCTTTTCACTGCAGGGCACTGCTCTGGTGTGTTAGTGAACAGGCACTTGGTCAGAAAAAAAGAAAGAGAATTCCCCAAACATACACACATGCACATATACACCGTAAAATACATGCAAAACTGCATTTCATCACAACCGAAAATACGTATCTTCAAGCCATTATAGTCTTCTCTTTGGGTTTCTGGATTGCTATTGATGTATGTTAAAAGGATGTGTGAATAACACCCCCAAAGGGAGTGTGAGAAGTCCAGGAACATCAGTTATGGTTACACTTAAATCTAAACATGATAAAAGTAAGTTCACAGCTTCAAATACCTAAAGCATGACTATAAGTCTGCCCTGGAATAATGGCATTTGCCAGTGGAGAAAGTTTGGGAGAAAAAAGCTGTGCATCCTTTAAAAGAAGTTTCAGCTTACCTTGGATCACCCTTCCATAAATCATTAATGTTCTGCACAGGGGCAGGGTTATGGTTATTTGCACATTTTAACTATTTACCCATACAATGCACTCCTTAAGACCATTTTAATTAACTTTGCATAGAACAATGCATGAGTAGCTGCTCTTACACGGCACTTTTCACTCAAAACTCAGAAGTCATTTGCATAGGAGGTAATGGTTATTATTTTTACAAAATACACTGGGGAAAGGCAAATTATTTGTCAGTGGCCTCTTGGATGTGTGGTAGAGTTGAAACAGAAGACAGGTTGCCCGGTTCAGTTCAGAAAACACTCCATCCAAGAGGTGATGGCCTCTTCCAAGCTTTCTGTTTCTTTTGGCCAGATGAAGTCCAATGCTCACATCGTATAGGGG